GCAAAAAGAGACAGGGGTGGGGGGTTTCCTGTTTGAGAATATATAGAATAAAATATAGGGGGAATGGGGGAGAATGCAACAGATGGAAAACCAAATAGTGAAAGGGATTCGACTGGAGAGAGAATGTGGGAAACTGGGCTGTCACAATGTGGGAAGTATTTGGAACATTGGGGGAGGGGGGGGAAATGAGAAATATTCAACTCGTCATATTTGGGTACCCGACTCTTTGTTCTACACCAAAGATTTGTTTACGAGATTGTTGCACCTAATTATCTAAGAGCGTGGCACAAAGAGAAAGAGAGAGAAACGAGAGCCAGCCTCACGTCCTATGCTATGAATGAATCTACCTATAAGGGGTGGTAGAATTCCTTTGGCGCACCATGTGCTGTACGATGGCTCCCAGAATCAGGGCGAGGATTAGCTGGGCTACTGTGGCTCGTCTTCATTCGTGGCTTCATTCCTGTTGCTTTTTCTTTCCCGACACGAGAACCAGTGAGATTGCGGGGGCCTGCATCGAATTGGTCTGGACACGAGATTCCCTGTACTCCGTACTCCGTAAAAAGATACTTGAACTTCTTAGGGCTCAGACCCCCTAGGGTCCAAACACTTGGGAATCTAATGTTCTCATGTATATGCTATAGTACATCCCTTTATACACATGTAACATTAGACGTCATGAGAATCTTGGAAACCGTGGGCCCCGCGGTCCGTTCCGATCCATTGTTGTGTGGTGGGGACAGCAATAGCCGAGATTATATATATGTAACAAGTACTCCGTATGTACGGAGTAGAACATCATGCCATCAGAACCAGAGGTCCTAGACAGTTCGCCCTGGACAATTAAAAGAGTTTATATCATTCCGATCGTACAAACTAATCTTCTTAACGGTCATGCCTACCTTGATATGACGACATGATCGGCTAGTTTTTAGCGCACAGACTGAGACTTATGTACATCGCGAGAACGAAGGGGGTTCTACGATCTCAAATTCTTCACTCCGGTCTGATTGAGCAAACATAATCATGATGAACTCATAGTCTCCACTAACCTTAGTGGCGTCGACAATTGATCAACATTGCATTAATACTACGAGAAAACATCCCTTGGCGTGAACTGCGACTGAGAACATATGTCCAATAAAATCTATATACCCGTGGCCGAGAGTGCACGTCCAGTTCATACCGAGATGATTACAATATCCGTGAAGCGCAGGTGAATGGAAGCCAAAGCCAACGTCCAACCTGGAAGACAGAAGAGAATGCAGCAGTCTACACCTGCGCATACAGTGGCCGAGGAAGCTCCTCACCGGGCTTGATCAAGGTCTCTGAATGGCAAGCTGAGTGGGAAACGAGACCGGCACGGCTTCCCGGGACCGGGGATCGGAAGCCCACATAGGCTTCTCGTCGGTCTTCTACTGTGACGGACCAAGTATGCAACCCATAATAGGATGCAATGGAGTGGACCAACCAGCGACTGAGAAGTGTTAGCGCACTGGTCAATTTCGATATCACGATGTGGGGGAGGCTTACCCAAATCCAGCGGCACGGTCATCAGCTAGAGTCTCAAGCACCATCTTCTCACCTTCCCGCTCGCTGTGAGAACTGATCTCCTCTCGGAGTAGGCGGAGTCTCTCCTTTCGCTCGGGAGAGTCGTGCATCTGCCCATTACGACCGACAAATACAATCTCATCTTCCGAGTCGTCACTAGCCAAGTTCTCGGGAGCATCCCGCAACCCCTCTTTCTCAAGCAGAAGCTCTCTCTCATTCCACTTCTGAATAAACGTACGGACCTCATCTTCCAGATCTCGGAGCATGCCATGCGCAGCACGCGCATGCTTCAGCTTTGACCTCAGTTCCTTCGGGATGTGATGCTTCTCATTAGCTCTCTCCGCAGCCTTCAAAGCCAACTGTTGATTCGCCACATGGGAATAGTGAACGTCCCACAGGGGCGCAAGATAATAAGGCATCGGGTCATGCCGAGGATAGGTAGGTTGGATATCCCAGTCCTTTGAAGACGGCGGTTCCGCCCAGGGGTTGTGCAGCAGACGATCTTAATGTCTGGTCAGCATTTGCCTGATAAACCTGCGCCAAAGCCAAAAAGGTACAGATTCGGCATCCATCGCGATTTATCTAGTCCACATACGTACCGTTCTCCCAGCGCTGTCTTCGACGGCTGCCGTCTTTACCCTTGAGCAAAGCCTCCCGGGTCTTGAGTCCATCCCGGCGTAGAGGCTCCCGACGTCGAAAGTTGACTGTCGGAGGGCGGGACTCGACCTTGACTCGTTGGGATGGGATCGCTTCGTCGTCGAGAGGGATCGACAGTGAAACGGTGGCTCCGGGCAGACCCGAGCGCATTGGGGTCGGTGTGGACGGCGTCCTGGCTGCAGGGGCCGAGTCCGATAGAGTCATGTCCTGCAGGGCCGCTGCTGCATGTTGCTCTGTCCATGCAGAGATGGCTAGGGCTTGTTGCGGTGATAGGTGCCCTTGCGAACCCTCTGGGCGCAGACGTGGATGAATAGCCATAATGTACGGTCTAATGAAGGTAATAATAGGTCTAGGGAGAAAGAGGGATAAGGATGATAGGAATGGGCAAGATAACGACCCCGGGGAGATACGCTTGTCTGCACGGGACAACTCGCTGGACGTTGATTGGTGGACCGTGGGTACCTGGTAGCCCTAGCCCTGATTTCCTATTTCGGAACTGAGAATTGGCAGAGAAGTTAGGTGGAGCAGAGAACTAGGTGGAGCAGAATATTGAGGCTGTACGGAGTCCGGAGTATATAGCTCAAGGCTGACTAGGTATATTAAAGTAGTATGAGCCCTATCTCCGCAGGGCTGTGTGTCGCGTAGTGGAGTTTTGTTCACATTCTCCATTCTCCACCTTCAATCCCCAGATTCACCAATTCATACAGCTTTTAGTGGTTTTGTGTGTTATATTGAACATGATAGAATATATTTGTTAATTTATAGAGAGAGTTCAATAGTCCTCTGTAAAGGATTCGGATGGACCGGAAGTCCTAGGCCCCCGTTTCTAATAATATGACACAGAGCCTCGGTGTTTTAGCGCGCGGGGTCCAAAAATGGCTTGGCACAGGGCGCGACCTTGAGCTTTTAAAAGAAACCTGAGACCCTCTCTAGTTCCTTATTCTGCTTATACTTTTTTTATCATTATTCCATCATGAAATTCCTCACTCTTGCGCTGAGCGCAACGGCAGCTGCCATGGCCATGGTCAACCCAGAGCAACAACCTTTGGCGCCTTCAATTGTTCAAAACCCGCAGTCCAAGTCGCTGATCGAACTGGCCCCATACCGGACTAGATGGGTAACCGAAGAAGAAAAATGGTCACTCAAGCTGGTAAGAGTTCCGACTCGAATTTAATGGCATAGTACTAATGCTCCACCAGGATGGAGTGAACTTCATCGATGTCACCGAGGAATACCAATCGGGCTCCTACGGAACCCTCCACACCACACGGGTCGTCCAATACCCAGGGGCGATGGAGCACTCGCACGAGATTCTGCCTTTGTCCGAGACCCTCGACAAGAGTAACATGCGAAGCAACTTGGAACACTTCACATCCTTCCACACGCGCTACTACAAGTCGCAAACGGGAATCGAGTCAGCAACCTGGCTATTCGATCAAGTGACCGCCGCAGTGCATGAGTCCGGGGCCAGCGACCACGGTGCAACCGTCGAGCGCTTCGCCCATCCCTGGGGTCAGTTTAGCATTATCGCCCGCATTCCCGGCCAGACGGATAATACCGTCGTCCTCGGTTCCCACCAGGACAGCATCAACTTATTCCTGCCTTCGATCCTGGCTGCTCCAGGTGCGGATGATGATGGCAGTGGAACAGTTACTATCCTCGAAGCTCTTCGCGCCCTGCTGCGGTCGGAGACTATCGCCCACGGAAAGGCCCGCAACACCATCGAGTTCCACTGGTACTCTGCCGAGGAGGGCGGTTTGCTCGGATCACAGGCTGTCTATGCTAAGTATAAGAAGAACCAGCGGAATGTCAAGGCCATGCTCCAACAGGACATGACTGGATATGTTCAGGGTACTCTGGATGCCGGCGAGAAGGAGTCTGTGGGCGTTATTGTCGACTTCGTCGACCCGGGCCTTACTACATTCATTAAGGAGGTTATCACCACCTACTGCGATGTGCCTTATGTCGAGACCAAGTGTGGCTATGCATGCTCTGATCATGCTTCGGCTAGTCGGTATGGATATCCCTCGGCATTTGTGATCGAATCTCAGTTTGAGAACTCCGATAAGAGAATTCATACTACCGAGGACAAGATCGAGTATCTGAGCTTCGATCATATGCTGCAGCATGCGAAGATGAGCTTGGCTTTTGCTTACGAGTTGGCTTTTGCTCCCTTCTGATTTCTTACTGGTTTACATGATGGTTCGGCGTTTTATGTGATATACCTCTGAGCTGGGTTCTCTCGTTAAGAGTACATTGAGGTTCAACCCGATGCTGTTTTTATTTTTTTTGGTCTTGGAGGCTTATACCCTACATACCCTCAATTGAATGATTATGAATTGTTAAACTTTCTATCCTGGTAATCCACATTCTTTTTACCCCAGTATTTCAACACAAGAACAACCCATACTATGCCCAAGCCTGAGCGTTCAGGCTATGCGACCAGGGGGCATGTGAATCGTAATCAAAATACAGGGTACCCATCAGGATTAGTACAGCCGCGAAGCTTAGCTTCTTCTTTCCCTGGCCTAGAGCCCCGACAAAGTGGCAAATAGCACACGATTCCCCATCGAGTTCCAGAATGTCCTAGTGGATAACGGCTCTCGATCCGGCATTTCTCCACCCCCGGGACCCCCGGGCGATGCACCCGAGTGTTCCCCTCACGGGGGGGAGCACCGCGGGGACTTTTCCCCTCATCAAGATAAAGCACGCAGGACTGTTGCCATATCCCGGGAATGCGTCCGATTTAGGACGATGGGAGTGTATATTAGTTGGCGAATACATCGTTCTTGAACATGTCCCAGTTCTGTCCATATCTATAAAGTATAGCAACAGTGAGTTACTCCTTATAAAATCCTGATCAAATTATTCAAAGTGATACTTACACCATGGAAAGTGTCTAGCAACATTGTTCCACTTACCGTCATCAAAGGCGCCGGTCACGAGTTCATCCCCCTCCCTCAAGGCGAGAACGCAACCACTGCCGACTTCCATTCTATCCGCACCAAGACCGAATCTCCTGCACACTTCACTTCGGGATTCTATAAGATCGAGGCCGGGCCTGAGAGACCCGCGAGCTACAATTTTGAGGAGACAAAATATGTCCTCAATGGTCAAATCGATGTTTTGGTTTGTCTCCTATCTATGTTGAAGTTGGCCCTCAATTGTTTATATTAACCATTGCGGTTTCAAATAGGACGAGGCTACCGGGATCACCCATCATCTAGTCCAGGGAGACTTTGCCTTTTTCCATGTTGGATCTAAGGTTAAGGTATGCCGCCCTCTTGTATCTCCTATGCGATACATTAGCTGTGAAATAGCTCTAATTTCTCCTCGGCTTAGTTCTCGACTAAGTCTCAAGGGCTTGCCTTCTATGCTGTTACTCGACCTGTTCGATCTCCCCACCCTAACCTTAAAGGTCGAGAGGAAGACAAAGCGAAGTTGTAAGGAGTCGACCTAGACAAAAGATCTTACGGATTCATGAAGTTTGGGCTATAGATGGTGATACTTATGATCTCAACTTTGATTATATTTTCTTGTCATGCATAGTGTAGAGAGCTAGTAGAAATACTGGCCTAACTGATCCTTATCCATTTTTCCTATCGAATAATCTTGAAACAAAATTCCATGATTCCATGATTCCTTTGCTCATAGCCTATGCCAGGATAGATATGTTAACCTAATACACTCATATACATAATCTCCCAAACAAATCCCCATGCAGTAGATTTAAGGCCTACATGGTGTGATGAGATTATTAGAAAAGTAAAGTGAGAAGCAAGGTCTATCAATCTGATTTTGTGCTTGTAGATCTAGTATAGGGCTAGATCCAGATATGACGTAGCGATACTCACCGGTGTTTCGCACGTGATGCCCCTCTATCGTGTCCACTAAACTCACCGTTTTCGTATTTGTCGCTTTCAATTGTTATTTCTACATCCGGTCAAGTCAATCTCTCTCCTCGGGATCTATCATCTCAATCCCTCTACACAGACCACCCTTCAAGTCGCCCACCATGACCTCCGCAGCCCCCTACGCCAAAGAGCTCCATATCGCCAGCCTAGCCGTGCAACGAGCAGCAATCTTAACTAAAGAGCTTCTTTCCGCCGTCGACAAAGGCGCTCTTGACAAAAGCGACTCATCACCCGTGACAATTGCCGATTTCGCCGCCCAAGCTTCAATAATCGCCGCCATCCACAATGCCTTTCCCGACGACGATATCGTCGGCGAAGAAGACGCCACAGCCCTCCGCTCAAACCCAGACCTCCTCGCAAGAACCTGGGACCTGGCAACTAGTGTCCATCTCAATGACCCAGAAAGCGAAGCCCTCCTCCACACCCCGCGCACCCCCTCTGAACTTCTCGACCTAATCGACCTCGGCGCGAAAGGCGCCTGCACCCCCACCAGCAGAACCTGGACTCTAGACCCCGTAGACGGAACAGCAACCTTTATCCGCGGCGAGCAGTACGCAGTCTGCCTCTCGCTAGTCGAAAACGGGATCCAGAAAATTGGCGTCCTCGGCTGCCCAAACCTCCTGGAGTCAGGACCCGTCGCCGAACACCGTGTCGACCGCAACGGTCTCGGCCAGATGATCTCAGCCGTTGCCGGGCAGGGCGCGACCATCAGACCTATCGGTCTGGGTGCTTTGTTGCCAGCACGCCCGCTTGAACGTGTCCCGCAGATTGGAGATTCCGACGTGCGGTTCATTGATACGCGTGCGGCAAAGACGCAGGATCTCGAGGCTCATTCCCGCGTGGCGGCGAACCTTGGCTGCCCGTGGCCGAACCCGGTGGATTTGTGGTCGGCTCAGATGCGTTACGTTGCTATTGCAGTGCAGGGAGGGTGTAATTCTTTCGTCAAGGTGCCGCTGAGTCCGGATTATCGCTCGAAGATCTGGGATCATGCGGGTGGCATGCTTATTGTGCAGGAATTGGGTTGTCTCGTTACGGATCTCGAGGGGAAACCAGTTGATTGTTCGCTCGGTCGTACATTGGCTGGGTGCTATGGTATGGTTGTTGGGCCGGCTTCGGTTCATGGGAGGATTTTGGAGGCTGTGAAGGAGGCGCGAGGATTGTAAGTTTTTTTTTCTCTTTCTTTTATATATGGTGTGGATTCCTTTACATGTGTTTTGCATGGTTTTGATACCCTAGATAATCATATCATTGGCATGGTTACTATCCTTAGCATGTATATGTGTATAATCCATGGATGTACTCTTCTACCGGCATGAGGCTTGAGCACTGGCCCCTTTCCCCGCGTTATATTAGTATTACTACATTTATTACTCTGTCGAAAAGCTGTACTTTGTGCGTTCCGTACTATCTAATATTTCCAAGGTTATTTTTATGCTCAATTGCGGGTCTCATGTTCCTTGATTTCCCTGATCTCCCTTTTTCAAGATCCTATGCCCAATGGACTGTTTCTGAGTTAGGTTTCCCATAAATTTTCGATTTCCAAAAACATTTCTCCCAAGGTTGATCATTGTATTGAATAGGACTGTGCACGGTGATCTACGCTTGGCGGAAGTTACGCCAGGTTATAGTTCGTTCTCACTCTGGGATGGCGCTCAGTCCTTGTGTCACAAGACAAGTAATTCTAGTTTGAACATGAATAACATTTGATTATGATTATATCAAGATTTCTTCGAGAGTCAAGTATTTATATAGGTACCCTACAAGTTGGAAGCAGCCCTAAGGCGATAAGATAAAAGCGTTGATGTCATCACAGACCTCACCTGCATCATTTCCTGTTCTTCCTTGTAAGGTTCTTCTCATGGTCTGATTCTATTGGACAGTGGTCTGATGACCTTACGCGGGGAGTCTCCTAGTTATAAGATCCCCCCTCTCCTGCTTTATAGACTTCCGGTTCCTTTCTTATACTCAGCTTCAGCTTGAGTAATAAGTTTACCATGGCATCATTCAACCCATTCGCAAGACGCGAAACCCACAGCGCCAACTCGCTGAATACCTACCGAGTCCTAGTACCTCTAACCTGGGCCTTAGTCGTGGTGGTCGGCATCTACTACTCCATTCACTCGCCAGACGATACCAAGAAGAGCAAGAAGATCTGGAAACAGGCTAATAAGCATAATACTCCATTCAGCCAGAACACTACCGTGACTGGCGTTTTCTGGTAAGCTCAGCCTAGCACATCTATGCGTATATTGGCCATGATTATACTTTGGGACATCTATCTAACCTTCCATTTAGGATCTTCCTCCTCCTCTCTCAGCTCAGCTATGTCTGGCACCTCTTTTCTAAGAACAATGTCCTCGTCACGGCAGCTGCCAACGTCGCCACCCATTTCATCCTGAACAACCTCTTCCTCACCGCTTGGATCCTCCTCTGGACCCGCAACCATTTCTGGGGCGCAGAGATCATCCTCATCGCCCACTTAATCAACCAGACAGTCACATACTGGCGCCACCGCGGTCTGCCGGCATTCGTGCACCTACCCGCCGTAGCTGGTCCTTATGCCTGGACACTGACTGCGCTATTCTGGAATGGCGCGGTCGCTGTCCACAGCCATAACTTGCCTGGCCGTATTGTCGCTAATATCTTCATCTGGGTTATTCTCGCGATTGGACTGTTCGATATCGTCCTCCGGGAGGATTATATCCTTGGATATTGTTTGAGTTGGTTGACACTGTGTAAGTTCTTCCTTTCATTATCACTTCTCTGAGTTCTTTGCTGATAGGTATATACTTCCAGCACTTGCCCTCAGACAAGTTGCCATCAAGATCATTGCCCTGCAGTGGATCTTTGCCTTTACTGTCTTTGCCGTGTTCTTGGCTGTGTCTCTTTACATCTCCACGACCAAGTACACTGGTCGTGACAGCCTCTTCCGTCGCGTTGCCCACCCCGAGTCGGCTGATCGGGAGAGAGAGCCATTGCTCAACGAGGGGGTGTGAGCCTGTCGTCATGCCGGCAATGGGGACCCACCACGATAAGCCTAACCCAACCGGTCGTTGGGTAATACTTTGATCGGACTGGACGAAGGAAAACGAGAAACGAGAATGAAAGTATGGAAGTTAAAATGCAAGTCAATTCTTGTTTTGGAAGGATTATGCACTTTATGCACTGTTTTGTGATGGAATAATGTAGTCTTCAACACACTAATGTGAAAATGCATCGACCCACTCAGGACTTGGGATATTGAAGACATGTTGAATATTATTGGAGATCTTGACAATTCGATATTGGCGAAAGGAATAAAATGAAAGATCAACAGAAAATCACATGCTATTTTTAATAATTGATTATTGTTTCCAAGACTTTTACCCCGTGCTGATGACATCCAAGTCCCGCGTTGCCCTGACAACCGACTGCACCTCCACCTTGTTGATGCCAAAGCGACGGATATGAACGGGCTGGACTTGTTTGCCTAGTCGATTCCTCTTACCTCTTATCCTTTTCATTGTTTCGTCTTTCTCAACTTGTGTATCGAGCTTTGATATTGCTATTGTACTCACATTCCTCCATTCCTCATCTGTCGAACCTGACGGGTCCACCCCGATTCTGTCATATCTGCGAGAGGCGAGGAGATTCTCATCGTCTCATTGATACCCACCTTAGGTTCCATACTATGAGGCAGTGAATTCACGAAAAACATATCACATTCCACGTTCTATCATGAACCGCCATCCGCCATCCAATTATGGCGACGCGCCGCCCGCATACCTCAACCACGACTCGGCTTCCTATCTGTCTGATCCCGAGTCTCCAACCAATGCCTCGCATCTCAATGGAGGAACGATGCGCTTGTTGCCCAGTGGTGATGGCGCCGATGACTTAACTAGTCATAGGGCTCCTTCGCCTTCCCATTATGACCCGGATTATCATCACACTCCGTATGTATTTCCCAACTACCTCCAATATCACCTTATCCACTTTTAAATTCCAGTGGTTTCCCTCGCGACGAAACCATGTGCACCAACGACTCTAACTCCATCATTGACGTGATGGGAAAGCCTGGGAGAACGCCTGTGCCTTGGACAATTGCCAGTAGGCATTGTTACTCGGCTCGAGCCAACTCCTTCCTGTTGCTTGGTCGATCGCCCCCTTCCCCTGTAAACATTGAACATTTTGTACTCCAGTACATTTGTTTACCGTTTCATCCCTCACTCCACTCCACATTGGCCCTCTTCCTGCCAGCTTCGACTCACAATGGAACGTCTTCCAAGACCAAGGTCTAACATTAGGTCGCGTCATTCTAGGACCGGACAAGATCGAAGCTATGATAATTATTACGAGGTGCCTAGTATCTCTTCGCCTTCGCGTCCACCATCGAGCTTGGCAAGTGGACCCAGTATCCCGCCTCCCACGGGCAGTCTCGCAGACACTTCTGTCTACCCATCTATTCCCGCACGCACAGGATCGCCAATTCGCCCTTGGAGCCCATCACACATCCGACCACCGTCCGTGTCAAGTGTTGGGTATGAACGGGCCGATCTGAACGGTAGCCCGCGGCCCGGTACACCCAGCTCCAGATATGGGGGTAGTCCCCGTCGACCATTGCCTCCTGCGCCTTTGTTCTCCGGACCAAAATCCACAGTGGATACCAGCATCGATATTGGTGATGCCCATGGCGAAGATCCGTTCGGCGGCGACGGTCGCACAATTCACCACGCATCGCGCGGTAGCGTCCGATCGTTCATGAGTGAGTCGACAATGTTGGGAGACGAGAAAGATGGCATGTCAAAAGTCGACCTCGATGATGAAGATGACGATGAATCGCACATGATGGATCCCAACCTCCACTATGGCCCAGCACCCGACAAGCAGGGCCGTCGTGGTGTCCGTTCCAAGCAGGTCGCCAAAAAGGAAGTTCAGCTAGTCAACGGCGAGCTTATTTTGGAGTGCAAGATTCCCACCATCCTCCACAGCTTCCTGCCTCGCCGTGACGAGCGCGAGTTCACACACATGCGATATACCGCTGTCACATCCGACCCAGACGATTACGGCGAACGGGGATATAAGCTTCGCCAGCAGATTGGTACCACGACTCGCGAGACAGAGCTGTTTATCTGTATTACCATGTACAACGAAGACGAGATTGGCTTCACTCGTACCATGCACGGTGTTATGCGCAATATCAGCCACTTCTGCTCGCGCACTAAGTCGCGTACATGGGGCCGTGATGGATGGAAGAAGATTGTTGTTTGCATTGTTGCTGATGGACGTAAGAAGGTCCATCCGCGTACACTCAACGCATTGGCTGCCCTGGGTGTGTACCAAGAGGGTATTGCGAAGAATATTGTCAACCAAAAGGAAGTCCAGGCACACGTGTACGAGTACACCACGCAGGTCTCGCTTGACGATGATCTCAAGTTCAAGGGTGCTGAGAAGGGAATTGTGCCGTGTCAGGTTATCTTCTGTTTAAAGGAACACAACAAGAAGAAGCTGAACTCCCACCGATGGTTCTTCAATGCTTTCGGTCGTGCCCTTCAACCCAACATCTGTATTTTACTCGATGTTGGAACTCGACCAGAGCCAATGGCTCTCTACCACCTCTGGAAGGCATTCGATCAGGACTCCAATGTTGCGGGCGCTGCTGGTGAGATCAAGGCTGCCAAGGGTAAGAATATGCTCGGTTTGCTCAACCCTCTTGTGGCAAGTCAAAACTTCGAATACAAGATGTCCAACATTCTGGACAAGCCACTAGAATCTGTCTTTGGTTACATCACTGTGTTGCCCGGTGCGCTCAGTGCTTATCGATTCTTTGCCCTACAAAATGACGCAGATGGCCATGGTCCCCTCAATCAATATTTCAAGGGTGAAACACTACACGGTCAAGATGCAGACGTTTTCACTGCCAACATGTACCTGGCTGAAGATCGTATTCTCTGCTGGGAGTTGGTTGCCAAGCGGGAAGAGAGATGGGTGTTGAAGTTCGTCAAGAACGCCGTTGGAGAAACTGATGTGCCGGACACAGTTCCTGAGTTCATCTCCCAGCGCCGAAGATGGCTGAATGGTGCTTTCTTCGCTGCTGTCTATTCGATTTTCAATGCCAAGCAGATCTGGAAGACGGATCATACTCTTCCCCGGAAGATCTTGCTTCACATCGAGTTCTTTTATCAATTCCTTAATCTACTATTTACCTACTTTGGTCTTGTGGGTCTTACTATCTCTTTTTCTCTGGATGCGTTCACTGACTTTCCACAGGCCAATTTCTACCTCGCTTTCTACTTCATTGCTGGGTCTCTGACTGATCCGAAGCTTGATCCGTTTGGTCACCACATGGGCAAATACATCTTCGTTGTTTTACGCTATGCTTGTATTCTGGTCATGTGTTTGCAGTTCATTATCTCATTGGGTAATCGACCGCAAGGGTGAGTCCACAATACTTCATCATACATTGCGACTTGACTGACGTTACTTCTTAGTGCCAAAAATCTCTATCTCTCTGGTATCATCGTTTACGCCATTATCATGTTCTACACCGTCTTCTGCGCCCTTTACTTGGTGGTCAAAGAGTTACTCGCACGTGCTGGCGTCGGAGAGGATGATATGGAAGTAGGGGACGGCCTGATGATGAACATTGTCCTTTCCATGTTGTCAACCGTCGGCCTCTACTTCTACACTTCATTCCTCTACCTGGACCCGTGGCACATGTTCACCTCTTCGATTCAATACTTCCTGCTCATGCCCAGCTACATCTGCATTCTCCAGGTCTACGCGTTCTGCAACACCCACGACGTAACCTGGGGAACCAAAGGAGACAATGTGATCAATACCGATCTTGGCGCAGCAAAGACCATCAACGGCTCAACTGTCGTCATCGAAATGCCGTCCGAGCAACTCGACATTGACTCCGGCTACGACGCGGCCCTCCGCAATCTCCGCGATCGTCTCGAAGTCCCAGAGCCCCCACCATCAGACTCCCAGCTACAGGAGGACTACTACCGCGCCGTCCGTACTTACATGGTCTCCATCTGGATGGTCGCAAATGTAGTCCTCGGCATGGCTATCTCCGAAATTTACGGTATTGATGCCGGTGGTACTAACATTTACCTCGCTATCATCTTGTGGTCTGTCGCTGTCCTCGCTGCTATTCGTGCTATCGGCTCTACTACCTATGCGATCTTGAACGTCGTTCAGAAAATTGTCGAAGGAAAGACGAAGTTCGATGCGGGTAACATGACAAACTTTGCCCCTAGTTCTTTCGGTGGTTCCAGTGCCGCTGCTACCTCTGAGTCTGGGGCGACCGCCCCCCGTCCTGTGCGCTATGGGGGCGGTGCTTCCTTTAAGGATAAAATTGCCGAAGCTCGCTGGACTGCTGGTAGGGCGGTTGGAAAAGCTATGTTCTGGCGGAAGTAGACGATTGAGATGATCTATTTTGGTTGTTTTTTTCTTTCTGATTTCTTTGTGGTTCTTTTTTCTTTGAGATCGCCTTGTAACTTTCCTGGATCTCGTGGAGTTCTTCTGATTTGGGTTTTCTTTTGAGATATCAGGTGTTTATTCTTTGCTTTTTCTCTTATGATGGAAATATTGTCATGATAATGCTCTTTTTTGCTTTTTATTCTCGTTATTCTATCTTTCTGGATACTTGGACATGTGTATTGATTGATGTACTTACGCGGCCACTTTTGGGGGTTGGAATCAATGCATTGGATGGTGATTAACAAAAAATGACTCAACTCCAGATAATATCCCATGATCTTTTCAGGGTGTTTATCTCTAGCCTATTCTACTTTGATACTCGCACGCAACTTCCAGTTCCTACACTAGACACCGCTAAAATTGAACATCTATGCACGAAGTTCGTATCACACGTCAATATCCTAACAAAGAAAATGCCACCCTGATCCCGTATAATCCCACCTCCCAACATATACTATCTCATTTCTCACTAAGCCCATCCCCCTCAACCTCATGAATACGCGTGTCCCGTGGCCCCAGTTCCGCCGGAAACATCATCTTCTCCCTTCCCCGCATACACAGGATAACCCAAATGTTGGGCCGAGCTTGCCGCAGCAATCTCATCAATCATCGCCTCCTTCTGTCGCAAATTCTTCTTATAGATCCGCCGCTGCACGAGCATCGTTATAATAGCGATCAGAAGACACCCACCCAGTCCAGCACCGAGTCCAGCGTTAATCACTGTTGTTTTTGAAGGACATGTGGCGCTGGCATCTGATCCAGGAGTGTATTACTACAGAGAAATCCTGAGAGGCTCATACAAGTTTCGCATATGAGGAACCCAGTGCACTTTGAACTCAGCTTGACGCTCTACTATTTGTATCGGCGAGCTACCATGGAAACAAGCTTTTGATTATTAGTAGTGAACAAAGACGAAAGTGAAAGGTTATTCGTCTGGCCCATTATAAGACACGCCTAGATCACCGTAGCTTAGGCCGCCAGACAGGAACGTGCTACACCGTACTTGGTCCAAATTAAACAATGTGGATCGCTGAATCGATCTCCCAAACAAAATTGTTTCTCGTTTCTTCTAGTCCATCTGAAATTAGGGTTTTCCATAGGTTCCATAGGTCACAACAATGAAATTTGACATGATAGGCAATACCCTCATAAGTCCGCTTGGTCGATGTCTCGAAACAATTCAATTGCTAGGTCTGGTTGGAACTGGTTCCGTTGTCTACGGTGCTATTCCCAGCAATTACTGCTTGTCTCTGGATATAATCAAGTATTCAAGCTTTACGCCACTCAATATGTTTCTCAAATAGAATTATAGCGAACCTATGTGATTTTACGTTTACTCATCATATTACCAAGCATCGATAGATTCTAGCCGAGGTAAACTACGCTACTGTATAGTCCAATTTCACTATGGCGCAACACAATCCTGATAAACGTGATACTTCTATAGTAAGAACGCTGAATGAACTAAAACTTTCAGACTTGATATATAATCGACTCCGAATTGTGATACCTCAAAATGCGTGATAAGTTGTTACCTCAAAGACACTCACCCCGCTTCATCGGTAAACACGGCAGTGTCGCATACGATACAGGGCTAATATGGTGCCTGACTAATACCTTTGAGGGGTCTCGACGTTTTGTTAATTCCTTAAATACTGGCTTTATGTCTTGATAACATTTATCGAACTTACTCGAGGCTGTTAAATGTTAAACATGTTCTCAGAAAAAGGTACAGCAACGGCACCCGTTGGGCCTGAGATCACAGATCTAGCACACATCACTGAAGATGAAGAGTCATCCGAAATACCCTCTGCCTTTGCGGTAAAAAGTAAAGTGCATGGCTGTCTCCAAGTTCTCGGTGCTTTCTTCATATTCTTTAATGTCTGGTCTGTCAACTACCTCCCGAATTAAGATTGAATATCAAAACTAATATATCTCTAGGGGCCTAAACCTTGCATTTGGAACATTCCAAAACTTCTATGCACTCACCTACATCCCGTCATCAACATCCTCTGATATCGCCTGGATTGGAACAGTCCAATCCTGGCTCCTAATCGTCGGTGGTCTACTATCCGGCCCACTCTTCGATCTCGGCTACAACCAGTCCATGATTATTGTTGGAAGTATCCTAGGTGTAGTTGGGATGATGATGCTCAGTCTTGCACATGAGTACTACGCCATGTTCCTAAGCCAAGGAGTCTGCGTGGGCCTCGGATTCGGACTGCTTTATGTCCCCGCTATGGCATTGGTCAGCCGTTCTTTTACTACAAGAAGGGCTATTGCGCTAGGTGTTTCGAGTAGCGGTGCCCCTGTTGGGGGTATCATCTACACTATCATGTTCAACCAACTTATATCGAAAGTGGGGTTCCCCTGGACTGTTCGTCTTATCGCATTTCTGATGCTAGCGCTCTTCATCGCGGCTGCTATTATGCTTTTGGGACCGGATAGACATTCGGTGAAGGTTAAACCCACCCAGCGCAGAAGCTTGATTGATTTGCGTGCGTTCAAAGATTTGCCATTTTGGAGCTTTGCTATTGGGAACTTTTTCCTTTATCTTGGCTATATCACGCCTTTCTATTATATTCCAACTTATGCAGAGACAAAGCTTGGCACCTCGCGCTCAATGGCATCGAATGTCTTGATGATTTCCCAGGCTTCTTCGGTTATTGGCCGTGTTGTCTTGACTGTGTTCGCTCATTACTTTGGGTCGATGATTGCTTGGATCGTTTGCGGTGTGCTCTCGGGCGTTCTGTGTATTTGTTGGATTAGTGCAGACACTCTTGTACGGTTTATTCTTTTTGCGGCCTTTTATGGTAAGTGGAATTCCTTTTCTTGGGTCATTGGTGCTCTGTTTTGACCCAAATCACAGGCGGTATCTCCGGGGCTTTGATTCCTCTCCCACCGAGCGTGTTCACACACGTCTGTCCCGACCCTAAGAGTCTTGGGACTTGGCTTGGAATGGCGCAAAGCTTGAGTAGTTTTGCATCTCTTCTAGGGCCACCAATAGCAGGTGCGCTCGCTTCAATTGGCTCCGATGGTAGTGAGGATTTGAACTACCTCGGTATTCAGTTGTTTAGCGGGATAGTCATGTGTTTCGGTGCATTCCAACTGATTATATTATGGTACTTGCTATACAAAAAGAGGGGCAAAACAGGTTTGTTCTAAAAGTAGGGAAATAAAGCTTGTTTATACCTCACATGGAACTATTTTTTTTATGATCTTCGGGGCTTTCTTTACGACATTGACCCGTCTATTAAGCCAATATTTACATTCTTTTACATTCTCAAATAACTCATGTTGTCTTTCGAGGAATTGAATTTTATAGTTCGGACAACCGGCCTATCAGGTCCTCGCGAACGCCTGTCACGGGATCTCGGGATTTGCAACAAATCACACTTGGGCGTGTGTTATGAGCTGATAGCAATCAGAGAAACAACAAAACAATAGGAATACCACATCTCCCTTACTCTCAATTGTCAGTAACTCAAACAAATAAATCCCAAAATATGACATTGCTACGCCCAAAAGGCCCGCTAGTCCCGTTCACTTCATCTCTACTACCAACGGGCCAACCAATCCAAGGGCGAACAATTCTCCTCGAGAAACTCTCCCCAAAGCATGCCGATGACCTCTTCGCCCTCACTGGTGGACTTGATCCATATAGGGAAGCTCTCTGGGACTACATGTTTGACGGGCCATACTCAGACACCGGAACCTTCAAAACCAGCATCGCATCGAAATCTACTTCAACAGATCCTTTCTTCTATGCAATCATCGACAAGCGTAGCTCTCTCCCCACTTTTGGAAAGGCAATTGGCTATCTCTCTCTGATGCGTATGACTCCCGACCACCTGGGCATCGAAATCGGAAATGTGATGTACTCGTCGGCGCTCCAGCGTACGACTGCCTCGACAGAGGCGATCTATCTCCTCGCTCAGCACTCTTTCCATGATCTTGGGTATAGGAGATTGGAGTGGAAATGCAATTCGCTGAACGAGCCCTCAAGACGCGCGGCTTTGCGCTTGGGATTCTCGTTTGAGGGCGTCTTTCGACAGCATATGATTGTTAAAGGGAGGAATAGGGATACGGCTTGGTATTCTATTTTGAGAGATGAGTGGGATGCCTCGCTGAAGACTGCTATGGAGAAATGGCTGGATGCTGGGAATTTTGGGGAGGATGGTGTTCAGATTAAGTCACTGCAGGATTTGCGAGCTGAGTTGGCCTGAGATGTGGGGACTGTCCTTGCATATATAAAGGATATAAGAAAATAGAAAGAACAATGTCTATTGATCTAGTGTTGATCATCGCAAAAGCCTTAGTAAGTCACGGCACTATTGAAGATCATCGACAGGGATAAACTGCACGACTCCACTAGCCCCACCGTTTAGTAGAGCTCGAGGGAGTTCAAAGTCATTAGAACTCATGTCATTCTAGGCAAGAAATTAGTCCTGTGGATATCAAGCAGCAAAGTTCTATAGGGTATGTCAAATAATTATGTGACGGATCTAGAGATGTGATAAGGCATACATGAAAAGAAATCCGGCATCGACTTGACCGATGTTCTCCGAGATCTCATCGGAGTTCTCCATCGGGACCTCTATGATTGGAGAAAGATGCTCGTTGCCCAAAGTTTAACGAACAAATGCAGTCCAGTTCAGCAGTTCCGATCCTTCGGCGGGTCTTACGAACTTCTCTCCTGTGTGTATTTCTGTCCAGTCCTGAAAATGACAAATGAAGAGATGATATTTGCTCGCAAAGACAAATAACCTATAAATATTCCCCACTGTCCTCGGGATATCAATCATCACCTCCAGATGTCCACAACAATGCCCTCCAACGAAGCCACACTCGCCAGAGAATACGGATTCAACGCCAACCAAGGCGTCAACTGGTCCGACTATCTCACATTCCGACCAGTTTACCCACCCTCCTTCTTCGAAAGGGTCTTTACCTACCACTCACAAAAACCTCATTCCACCTGGTCCCTCGCCCAAGATATCGGCGCCGGCTGTGGAATCGTCGCATCAAGCCTAGCCCCTCGCTTTGACAAAGTAATTGTCTCAGACCCAAACGATGGGTACACTGCGCTCGCTCGCAGACTCCTCGTCGAGGAATCCCGTTTTCCCGAGCCCAGTTTCCGGTTTCTGAAGGAAAGTGCCGAAAGGAGCTCTGTGGATTCTGGCTCGGTCGACTTGATCATGGCGTGCGAGTGTATTCACTGGACGCGGCCGGAGTTTGCGATTCGGGAGTTTGCGAGGGAGTTGTGTCCGCGTGGGACGCTTGTTATTACGCATTATAATTATCCGCGCATTGTTGGAAATGAGAGGGCTCAGCAGGCTTGGGGGGCTGTTTGTTCGTTTTATGCGGGAGAGGTCGATGATCCGATGCTTGATCATGCGTTGAGGATTTTGAATTCTGGGACTGAGGCTCTAGGGTTCCCCGTGGAGGATTGGGAGAGGGTGAAGAGGCTGTATGTTAATGCTCGGGGGAGTATTGATGCTTTTAGAATTAATGATCGAGTTGGTGAGAGCCAGGTCAAGGATGGCGAAGAGATTGTTTGGGAAGAGGAGGATACGGACTGGATGGATGAGCAGGACTGTGACTGGTTTAAGGGTTATGCATCTACCTGGACAACACCCCGTGTATCAGAGTCGGACATTAATCCATTGTGGGATGAGATGGAAAGGGCTTTTGAGGGGAAGAAAGTGAAGACAGCTACACCGCTTGCTATGGTCTTTGCTACGAAGAGACATAACTGAGGCGTGAATATGCGTTAGAAATAAACGTAATCGAAGTAATTTATCTCCATTCCTAATCCCTTCAACTGTCTCCAACAATCTCCTCAACAACTTTGGCAGCCGCTAGGGTCTCCTCATCCTTGAACCGCCTCCCAGCAATCTGCAATCCCACGGACGCGCCCTCATATCTTTCAGGATCATGGTACTTACGCCACTCCCTCTCATCAACCTCATCCCTGGGAACATATTGCCTGTCCTGCTCCGTCAACACATCTACCTTCGAGTCCACAGTGATTCCAGATGGGAACACTACGGAAGGCAGGTCAACCAAGTTCCAGATCGCAGTATAATTCCAATACTGCGACTCGCCCATCACTGCCGCGGCAGCGGGATAAGTCGGAGAGAGAATAAAATCTACGCCGCGCTGATTGAGGAGAGCGTGATATTCGTCCCTATAGATATCGCGCTGATCGTGCAGGGCCCATGCCTCAGGATGAGAAAGAGGCGTACTTCGGCTATAGGAAAAAGCCCATTCGGTGAGTGGGCGTGCTGGCTCGCCTGATTCGGCAAGAAGCTCGCGTTGCTTGCTGGCAGCGTCAGGGTAGTACAGAGCGGACTGGGTCATGTTAGCGTTATAGCGTGTGTGCGTAGAGCAGACTCAGCACCCACAATAACTTCCCAGCCATGCTGGTGCTTGTGAGGCTCCCAATCAACGACCCTCACGCCTGCTGCAAGGAGCTTCTCCTTGGCATGTCTCAAAGCGCGAGTGATAGGTGGATGGGGGCGGACGCAGCTAGGAAAGGAATTAGCACACTGACAGCGAAAAAATTATATGGATCACGGCGCACCCATCATCCCACATAATAGCCACAGTCATATCCCGCGTCGGAGTAACCATCTTCCATGGTACAGGCATCAGCGACGTCTCAATATTCCAAGGCTCCTGCTCCAAAATAGCTCTCTGAAATAGCTCTAGATCCTCAATCGAGCGACTAGCCATCGGACCCACCACACCGCGGATTGTCTCCTGGCCAGAAGCAGCGACTTTAATCCCTGTTCCAGGGTTCCGCAGCGAAGACGGACGAAAGCCGTACACACCGCAAAACGCCGCGGGGCAGCGAATCGACCCGCCGATATCACTTCCAATCCCTAGTGGCGCACACCGGAAACCCATTGAGGCACCTTCACCTCCGGAGGACCCGCCTGGACTTAGAGTCCGGTTGAGTGGGTTCAAGGTTATGCCAGTGATGTTATTGCTGCAGCACAGATGCTAGCTGGGTGTTAGATATTGGATATACCGCGAATGTAAAATTTGTGGACACACCATTAACGACTGAGGCTGGTTAGTCCGAACATGGAAAATGGCGCCGGCTTTGGATAGGATTTGGAGGAGAAGGGAGTCTTCTGTGGTGACTTTGTCGATCCTGTTCTGCTTGTCAGTAGTGTGGCTTTTCCTGGTGGATCTCTACTTACCAAGCTACGTATCCCGTGTTGCATGTTCGGTTCTTCATAGCTATATGCTCTTTCACGCTGATTGGTATGCCATGCTGTGCTCATTCTATTAGGAAATTGTCATTCTAAATTCGAATATGTATTTGAGCTTACCAAAGGCCCGACCAGTTTTCCTGTGCGTCTGTAGTACTCATCATGCTCTTTGGCACGAGCGATTGCCTCGTCGGCCATGAACTCCGTTGCGAAATTGAGCTAAAAAGCATGTCAACACTGGAATTGTAAAAGTGGAGTCTCTCAAGCTCACCAGTTGATGGCCCAGCACAGCCCTTTTCAAGAACGCAACCACAACTTCTTCTGCGCTCAGTTTTCCATTCCCCATTTCCTTCACCAGCGCCGTGGCCGACATATCAGTGATAACGAGCTCGCGTTCATTCAACAATCCACTTTGCTGGGGGAAGTCAGCCACACTCTTCTGCGAGACTGGCGGTAGCCTGTCGACAGGGAGAAGCCATTGCTTCGGAATAGAGTTGTTTAAGATGTCTTTGCCTTTTTGGGCTTGGATCTGCCAGTTGAGAGTCATGTCGAGTGATCAGATGGAATATGGCGGGGTATGTTCGGAGAGTAAACTCAGAGGTATAAAGGAAAAGAGACAGGTCTTTGTCCTACTCATTTTCCCCCCGCAGATCTACACTATCTCGGAATCGGAACTTGCTTTCCATTTGGACAATAAACCAGAGTGGAGTTCTTATCTGAACGGAGTAATTCCGTCCAGACTACTTGAATGCCGGTAGCTTATATCGTGTTCATATATCTCTTAAGAGGAAAATAAATATAACCTCACGCTCTACCATTGCTACAATTCAACTATAAACTGAATCTTTGTATTGTTCAGTCTATGCATCATAATCACGCTATCCAAGGAATATGCCGCTTGGAAACAGAGGTCAGTGTTTCCATATGTCATTCAGGAAAACCTCGGTGCCTTCACATCATGGGTTTGCACTCGGATTATAGACTCGCTTGACTTTGATTGCACACTTCTTCGCTCGCAAACACGTCAAATCTAGCAAGGCCGGCTTGGTGCAGAGTCACCGCGCAAAGACCGGTAACACCGACCGCTACGACGACTAACTTCGGGCAGCATTACTTGGGGGGTATGATACTTGCCAGTTGGCTGGCCACATTGCCGGATGTGGATTAATATGGCATCTATCCTTCCAGCCTATTTTAGGTACCACGGCATCGTTTCTCAGTAGACTAAATCATAAATGTAGCTCTCGGTGAAAACAGCAAATCCTCATGTATATTATATACCAACAGGTCTACACATGTCCAGCTTTTCCCGCCTTTTTCTGCCGTCCGGTTATAAAACCAAGAAAATATGTAGAAAAGGAATACCTGACTGCAAGCAATTCTACCAAAAGACATCACAAAATAGCCATTGTGTTTGTATGGAGTAATTCAATTGAAAAATTGAAAAAAAAAAAGAAATCTCTCCCTCGGGGAATCGAACCCCGGTCTCCCGCGCTTATCGGTATTAATGACAAGCGGAAATCATCACCACTAGACCAAGGAAGATGTAGTCGAGTTAACTCGACCATTGGCTGGTTGATGGAAATATTGGCCCATTTTGACATGATCATCCACAACATGTCAATTGCTCGCACACCGTCCCGCAGATAACCTGGCACCGAGATTCATGGGAAACATCGACATCCGACAACTCGGGTTGCATTGTAATCGAGTGGATTCCATAGGCGTGGAAACACTCATTAATCACCCGGGCAGTCTTCATAAACTCCTTGACCGAGTTATCGGATACAACAACATGCACTGAGGCGAGGGTTTTTTGTTGGTTGAGACGCCAGATGTGGAGTTCGTGAATCGAGTTGACACCCTTGATCTAGTGATTGTTAGGAAATCAAATAGAATAAAGTTAGGGGGATCTACCTTTTCTAGGTCATGTTTGACATCGCGAATGTCAACCCCCGTAGGCACGCTCTCTAGTAGGATCATCCCGGCTCGGCGCACTATATATATATTGTCAGCTTTCTACTTACTTTTGGCTTTCTTCTGTCGGAAATCGGAAATACTCTTACTCAGAGGGAAAGACGACAGAATAATGAGGATGGCAATGAACATGCTCACGCCAGGATCGGCGTAGTATCGGCCGGCATGGGGTGCTGCGAGCCAGATAACCAGACCGGCGGCCATGACGCCCAGGTTATTAATTGCATCGCCGATAACGTGGATCATCACTCCCATCATTCCAAGATCACTGTGATCATGCCCACCATGACCATGACTGTGGCCACCTGAGTCTGCGCAGTGATGTTTTTCGAAATGAAGATGTTTGTGATCGTGATGCTATCATGTGTCAGTCAGTTCTCCATGAATTGGATTTCTCGAGCTATTGAAGCATACCTTGGTGCTGGAATCATGATATTCCTCGCCGAGGTGAAGAACCGGTGTTTCAATTGTGGGTGAGACGCTATGGTCATGACTGTGTCCATGTCCATGTCCATGTTCTGGGTACTGTTAGCGTGATAATAATAACGACCCCACGAACCCTACCGTGAAGAAAGATTGCGCTGATGATATTTAAGCCCAATCCGACACATCCAATGATGAACATCAACTTGGGATTGTGAACATCTAGATACACCGTCGGTCATTATCAAAGATCAACATCCAGTCCAGACGATGGTACCCACGTTGTAGAGCAATAAATCGCTCGATGGACTGTAAAAATATACTAATACCCAACCCAAACAGAAGAACACCATTGAAAAAGGCACCGAGCAGCTGAGCCCGCTGCCAACCAAAAGTAAGCTCTTTAGGCGAGTCACTGCGCTCGGATTTCTATGCTTCACATCAGCACAATCACCACCGCACAATCAGAACACCAAGCACCTTCAAGGCAACAAGAGCAATGACAAACCCAACTAAATCATTCAGCTGCGATGTATATTAGCCATTATATCTCTAACTCCACATCAGATAACGCCTACATAGTGGAAAGCATCCGCAATTAGAGCAATAGAGTGGGTATAAAAGCCCACTAACCCGGTATCAGCACATCGACGTCCATACCAAAACCACTCCCACCAAATCAAGAAAAAAGGGCAACCGACGCGAAATCTCAGCCAGAAAGAAGCATGTCGATATGCCAATCACAACGCTCAGCCGTGTCGAGCGTGATAGATGAAGGACCATGACTGCGATGATCCAATAGCAAGAAAAGAAGAAGTGAAAGGGAACAAAAATCCAGGAATCTAGCTTGACGTTTACAAAAGGATCATTTTTTGGCTGCGAATCGTGAATACTTCTGCCTTCCAGACTTGGTTTAGAAAGCAATGGCTGGTCTGATATTCCTGCCGTGTAACTCTTCGCCTTGAAATGTGACCGATAGCTCCGGCCGCTATGAGGTATGTGGGTGATGTGGTATGGGGGAGGTTGAGGATTATGGAGAGTTTTGCTGAATGAATGGCTCGGACTCTCTGTAATGGTGGCACATCATGTCATTGTTAATGGCGGTTGGGGTATGTTATTTGGAAAGGGTTAGGGTTAGGCGCAAGTACGAAGCGCCGGGGCTACATGGGCCCAAAGGGATCCGCCAGAGGACCTTGACAGCGTGGAATCTTCCAGGGAAAACATTTCCCTCCCAGCCCTACAGAAGCTTGTGGATTGAGTTTGTGTGTCTTGAAGATCAGCCGATGAAGAATGCAGGCCCGCCACTGACAGTGAATGTGAGATCCAACTACAACCTTCAATACGCAATGGTACTTTTACACCTGGGCAGAAAGGGATTGAATCTCAAAAATATGGAATGATCAAGATCTCAACAAAAAAACAAGTACAATCCTCATACAATTTTCATGGTCACATATCCAATTCGTTTCACACAAACACCAACTCAAGCAGCAATTTGATCGGAGAGTCCATCCAGCTCACGCGCCCAGTTACGGTGTTGAGAAATATGCCAAATAAACTGCTCAGCCAGACCCTTTGCATCAGGCCCGACCGTGCCAACCTTCAACAACGAAACCGCATCTCCATGGCCCGTCACAACACCATACGACTCCTTTAGCGGAGAACCACTCTTCGCGACCTCAACCTCAGGAAGCCCGATCTGCCGCTCAATAAACGGCACAGCCTCATTGGCACCAGCAATAGCCTTGAGATGAGCGAAAGACTCGGAGATCCAGTGCTTAGCAACGCCATTACTTAATAGCGCCTGGATATGTTTTCCGCCAGGCACATAGACCGCATCGAACAGTGTCGACCGCATGCCATTAAAGAAGTGGTCCGGAATAACCTTCTGCCCAGACTCGGCAGTCACCCCCTGGCGCTGCGCACCGATCGTGAAAACAAATGCCCCGCGCTCGCTAAGCACCTCTTTCATCGTGGTATACTGGTTGAAGTCGAAACCGTCGGCAAGCAGGATGGCGACACGACGTGTCGAGATGACGGGTGTCTTCGGCATGAATTCAAGCTGGCTCAGACCCTTGGCTTTGATACCCTTGTTCTCCTTTGCGGACTTGTCAGGTGTATCGCCGCCGACGTTCGTCGCGACCTTCTTGGCTAGGTCTAGATCGATCGCTGCTAGACGCTCTGTCATGCGCTTGTAGACGATGGGGTCGTCGCAGTGATCCAGCTCGAAGGAGAATGCCTTTGCCACGTGCATCTTCTCAATCGGCGAGAGCGAGTTGTAGAATACCTGGGCTTGATTGAAGTGCTCTTTGAACTTATCTGACAGCGCACGCTTCTTTGCACCCTGCTGCTTCTGCGGGTAGCTGACGAAGCCGCCCTGCTCTTGTGTCGCGGGTGGGTTAGCGTCGAACCGGTTCGGCCAGTAGTTCACCTTGCCCTTTGTGATGCGGTGTCTGCCCTGGCCATCACGGTTGACCAGGCCCATGTATGGACATACTGGCCGGTTGATGGGCAGTTCCTCCCAGTTCGGTCCGAGCCGCGAGATCTGCGTGTCGAAGTATGAGAAGTTGCGACCTTGAAGCAGGGGGTCGTCGGAGAAGTCGATGCCGGGCACGATGTGGCTCGTGCAGAATGCGACCTGCTCAGTCTGAGGGAAGAACTCGTCGATGTTGCGGTTGAGCTCCATCTCACCGATATACCGGATGGGCACTAGCTCCTCAGGCCAGACCTTGGTGGCGTCGAGGGGGTCGAACTCGAAGCTGTCGGCTTTCTCTTCGGGGATGAGCTGCAGGCCGAACTTCCAGCGTGGGAAGTGTCCTGCCTCGATCGCTTCCATCAGGTCTTTCCGATGAAAGTCGGGATCCTGACCGGCGATCTTCAGTGCCTCGTCCCAGACGAGCGAGTGCACGCCCAGCTCGGGGGTGAAGTGGAACTTGACGAAATGACGCTTGCCGGCCTTGTTAATTAAGGAATAGGTATTCACGCCAAAACCCTGCATCATCCGGAACGACCGTGGAATAGCTCTATCGGACATGATCTGCCACGACCCGCGTCAGCAACTAGATATCACACAACCCAAACAGAAAATAGAAATACTAACCCACTGATTCATATGTGTAACTTCGGAATGCAGATACTGGAAATCCCAAAAGTTATTATGCGCAGACTGACCCTGCGGCACCTCATTATGCGGCTCAGGCTTAACAGCATGGATAACATCGGGGAACTTGATCGAGTCCTGAATAAAGAAGACAGGAATATTGTTCCCGACAATATCCCAATTGCCTTCCGCGGTATACATCTTGATGGCGAACCCGCGCACATCGCGCACCGTATCCGCGCTGCCCTTGCTACCTTGCACAGTCGAGAACCGCACGAACAGCGGCGTCTCCCGGCTGGTATCGGTCAGGATCCCGGCGGTTGTTACGTCCTCGGCGCTCTCGTATAGCTTGAATTTGCCGAAGGCGCCTGTTCCGCGCGCGTGCACTACTCGCTCTGGAATGCGTTCATGGTCGAAGCGCATGATCTGTTATTTGTTAATTTATTTGCATATATATTACTGTGTGCGCATAGTATGTCGGTACCTTCTCACGGGCAATTTGGTCTTCCAGAAGTGAGGGCCCAATCTTCTGTTCGTCTACGACGCGGAGCCATTGGTCTGGATTGGAGATTTTAACGCCATGATCGGTTGTCATGTGCTGCTTGTCGTGGACGTCGACGATGTCCTTTTGTAGATCGGCCTTTTTGCCGTCTGCGGTCTTGGGGTTTGGATTTGCTGCCATGTTATGTGCAGTATCAAATGATAGCAGAGTATGTATGCTGATAACAACGATACAAAGAAGGAACAGGAGAGCTGAAATATGTGTTCGAATCTCCCACCATATATAAAAATCAAGCTGACCACCCCCCCATTGGGATGTCAATGATGTAATCCTCCAAGTTGCGAGGTCGCATCTACCAAATGGAATCGTGTAATTATAAAGTGGATTACTCCTGGAATCTGGCCAGGACCGCTTTGCAAAGATGACCGTAGTATGACCTACCCACATACCCAAATCCGGGCAGTTTACCAGCCAATCCTGACAGGACAACCAGTAACGGAGCAAAACAGACAAGTATTGGGAATTCCTCCCTTTCCATTCGGCCAGTTTCCTGTGATCCACAAGGGGATCGGCTTGGTAACCTTTGCCTATGTCTGGTGGAGTGTTCCACTAGTAATACAAGGCATTGACAGTGGATCATTCCGATGGTGACGTGAAGTTATGCCTGGATGCTTCTTTATTTGAAGGATCATGGAGACGGGACCTGCGTGACGTCACCTGACAGGGAAATCATGTCCGAGTGTTATATACTTTTGTAGTAGTAAATATACGTGTCAAATATCTTAAATTCGGGATATAATCAAGGTAGGGATAAATTCATAATTTCAAGAAAAGCTATGCTATGTACACAAAATCTACACCAAACCTCGATCTATGTGCACAGGTATCTCTCTATAGCACAATGTAGCGTCTGTAAAAAAAAAGAAAAAGAAAAGGACAAAACAGAATCTACATGTTATCCTCACTCCAATGACTCCTCGTCTTCTGCCAAGCGTCATGTTCCTCCTTATTCTGCGCAGGACTGTTTCCAAGCCCCGACCCACGCTCCACCCACTCCTTACTTCCCATCTCAGAAAGACGGGACAGCGCACGCGCAAACGCAAACCGCTCCTCATCACCACTGAAAATAGACGTGTTCTTCAGCGCCTGTACGGACATGCCGAGGTCGTCCATTAGAATCCGCATTGCATCAGAGAGATCTGAATGGTCTCCGCCGTCGCCTTGGAGGGTTTTCTTTACGTCGGTCTCGGAGATGAAGAGGTTTGTAAGTGGAACTTCGGTTGTGAGGACTAATTTGGCCTGTTGATGTGGGTTGTTAGTTGACCACATGATGAAAAGTGACTAGGAACGTTGCTTGTTACTCACCCTGCTCTCATATACCGCATCGATAAAGGTAATAAAGCGCCTCGCCAGATCACGCTGGGTATGGTTCATACTCGGCACGTCCGTGACAATGAACGCATCGTAATGCCGGACGAGCTCGAGATAGTCGGCTGCACCTGTGGCCGTGCCGATGAGCTGCTGGAAGGTGAATTGTGCTGCCTTGCCACTAGCACGGGGAACCTTGATTTCGCGGCCCCAGACAACCTGTGAGGCTGTATGCGGGGGGTCATTGACAGGGTCGCCCAGGAACTCGAACCACTTCTGCGCATGGTGCTGTGCATCCTCGCCTAGCGGGTGGTGGTAAACGGCAGCCGGGGGCCGGGGGATTTTGCGGTAATCTGTTGGGGAGTTGAGGTTGATGACGCTCAGATCAGTCTTGAGGAGATTTATGCAGGGAATGAAGGATTCGCGCTGGATGCCGTTTTTGTACAGGTCGTCTGGATGGCGGTTAGATGTGGTGACGAGGACAACGCCGTGGGACATGAGGATCTCGAGAAGCCTGTTTGGGTGAATTGTCAGCGGGAGAGGGGGGGGTTTGAATATGTCTCGTCCGCGAAGAGAACACGTACCGTCGCAGAATCATTGCATCGGCCACATCGGTACACTGGAATTCGTCAAAGCAAAGCACGCCCGCGAGCTCGGCTATATCGGCCGCAACCATCGGCAGCGCATCAAAATCATTTCCATATTTCATCTTCACCACGTGCATGCGCTTATGTACATCCTGCATGAAGTTGTGGAAGTGAATGCGTGTCTTGTGCTTGATATTCGGCGGCAGCGTATCGAAGAACAGATCCA